GTGACAGCACTCAATCATCTCTAACGAAAGCTAAAATACTTAAAGTACCAGCAAAATAAACTGCATTTTGGACAAATGCTTTTTCTTCCAATTTTTTCCTGGTGCAAAAAACATTTTTCCCTCATTGACTATACCGAGTGCATTATTAATTTAGCAAGGGGGGAACTCTCAGAAGTGGTAAATGAATGGGAGTTTTATTAAAATCATTTGTTAAATCTGAGCACTTGTATTTGAATACAGCCAGGTAGCTGAAAAATGAATGCTAGGAAGAGCACTTAAACAAAGATAGGAGTTAAGGCACAAGCTCTCTGGCATAGTGAAATCTTTAAGGCAGGCTAGGATACTATCCAAGATATTCTACAACTGTCTGAACAAGCAAAGGCCTGCAGGTCAGAACAAGCCATGGATTTCAGATCTCTGGGTCAATGAAATCACTGAGAGTGAAGCAAGCTGCAAGTCTGCAGAGTGCTTCCTTTCATCATCAATATTAGGGTCAACTGTATTCTGCTGGTTTATTTGAAGGAGGGGAGTTGGAGAGAGCCAGTTGCTTGGCTCCCTCACCCCAACTCTGTGTTCTCTTTCTGTAATCCTGCTGTAAGTTTTTCACTAGGGAATTCCCCCTCCTCCACCTCCTTTGTGGCTGGTATTATAATTTTCTAAATAACAAAATGCCATTTCCTGAGGCTCCAGTTTGGAGACCTTTGCATCCACATCAAACCCACTCCCACCAAAAAGGGACACACAGAAATTGTTCTCAGAGGCATATGTTGTTTAGATCTCAGAATCTGACAAATAAATCACTGGCATGGGATCTCATTTTTTGGTTTCCAAATTTAGTTTGAAAAGATTAGCAGAGCTGGTCAAATAATATTCAGCAAACCAAATATTCCAGGACGTTGTGCTTTTTTGGCTTTCAAATAATGTGTAAGCCTTTCATAACTTCTGTAAATGTATATGTTATTCTCAAACTGTAATACATCATATAAATACCTTATTTTCAAATTGTTGTGGATAATTCTCCAAATGTTTACTACTGCTAGTCAATATTTGCAGTGTGTCATGTAATTAGTCACATGCCATTGCCTTTGCTCCCTTTATTTTACATGACAAAAGTAATGAATACCTACCTAGGCACTTCAGACTAAGTCCAATAAAGATCTTAAGTGAGTAAATCATATGGGAGTTAAATTTAGGTGCCTAAGTCCAAAATTCACACCCAGAAAGTCCCTGTAAGCCATTAGTTAAACTGGGAAACTCCTAAACTCAATAAGCACAGCCCTGTTTGACTTTAAAGTTCTCTAGGTGTGTAAAATTCTGCTTCTGTGCTTGCTCAGAGCTGCCCAGTCTGAACAACTAAGGGCCTATCTTCTCTTTAAGTTTGACTGGGAGCTAGTTTAAATTCCCCGTGGAACTGGATCAGGTAGGGAGCATCCAGATGAGTGCATATTTGTGCCGCTGCTATTTTTCCCCAGGAAACGCCCCTGCACACATGCTCTGGCATGCAGCAAATTGCCCTGGGTAGGCTAGGGGAAGCTGGGGCCAGTACCTGGGTTGGCCCTAAAAGCCTTACCTGGTGGCCTGGGGTCCTCCCAGGGCTTCACTGGTGGCAGTCCATGGCACACAAGCCTGGCTGGTAGCTGGAATGTGGTGCTGGCCAGTCAGGTTCCAGCTCTGGGCAATGCATGCTACTGCCACATGCACCGCTCCACTTTTTTTCGGTGTGCTTTTTTTTTTTTATACTGGGATTTATCGGTATCTAAACTTGGCTCTGTGCTACAAATACGCTGTGCAAAGAACCAAATCACATGCATGGGATGAATTTTGGCTTTTGAGGCACCGCAAAATGCACGTGTCCTTGTGTGGACATGCCTATAGTGTTTTAAGAACATACCTAAATCTCAAACACTGGATCAGGCCCTCATAAAATACAGTGGCAGGGATGGCTAGGAGAAGGTATCCAGGTTGTAGCCATATTGGTCTAGAGGAAAAGGCAACCAGGACTCATAGTACAGATGATATTTTTTATTAGACCAACAAAATTTTTGCCAAAAAAAATTCTTTAATTGCAAGCTTTCGGGTACAAACACCCTTCATCAGGCATTGGAGAAAAGATTGTAAAAGTTCTCCTGGGTAGAAATGAAAGTTCATATTTCATAAGATTTCACAGAGGAGTCAATAGATGGAAAACTCCTCTGGGCATTCACTTCACAGCTGGTATGGACAGTGATGATGCATAGGGGCTGCACAGGGGTGCACGTGCACACCCTGAGAGCGCCAGTGCACCCCCAATGGCCGCACTAACCTCTTAGGCGATGAGCGGGGG